TGTATCTAGTTGTTCATCTGAGTTAATTATTTTTTGTACTATGTGTGTTTGCATTTTTACTCCATTTTTATCTGTTTGTATTCCTAAAAATTCTATTTGCTTTTTCATTATGTCTGCTGTTTTTTTACTTAAACTTATGCCTGAATATTCTATGATATGTATAATTTTTTCTAATAATCTTATATGTTCATCTTGTGTTTTGGAATATAGTAATATATCATCAATATATACTACACAATCTTCTAGTTGTTTTGAAATAGTTATCCATAAAGTGTTGATATCTACCTGGTGCATTTTTATATCCAAATGGTAATACATTCCATTCATAAAATCCTTGTATTACTGTAAATGTTGTATGTTTTTTAGATTCCTCTTCTAACTTTAAGTGGTAAAATCCTGATTTGCAGTCAAATTTACTAAAGTAATTATATCTTTGTATTCATCTTATCTTTAATATTTTATTAGGTATTGGGTAGATATATATTTTAGTTTTTGCATTTAAGTTTCTATAATCAATAACCATTCTACTTTTTCCACTTTTATGTTCACTATGTTTATTTACTATGAATGCCGGGCTTGTATGCTTGCTATTGTTTTCTTATATATACCCTTTTTCTAGTAATTCACTTATATGTATCTTAAATTCTGTTAAATCATTAAAATTATATTTTAATGGTTTTTGGGTTATTATACTATTATTATCAATTAGCTCAATTTTTATTTTTGTTTTATGTTTTTCCCATCCTTGTAAAGGATCTTCACTATATAATAATTCTAACTTATCTTGGATTATTTTTACTTTATCTATAGAGAATATAATTAATTCTATCTTAGGGTCTTCTTCTTTTATATTTACTAATTTTTGTGTAATTTTTTCACTTCCTTTTATCCATTATGTTGTTTTTCGTTTTTTGTTATTTACTCTTTTTACTCCTATTTTTGTTTACATGGTGTTGTGAACCACTAGTGTGTTTTTGTTATTATATATGGGTATAATTTTTCTAAAAATGGCATTCCTAATAGCATATCTTTTGTGGTCAATTCAAAGTTATATATTTCTTCTATAGTTAATATCTTATCCCATAGTTGTATTTTTATATTTTTTGTCTTATATGTAATCATGCTTCCTTCATTATTAAATCATGTTACTACTATCGGTGTTTTTAATTTTTCCCATTTATCTTCTGGTAACAATTGTATTTACATATATTAGCTTCTGCTCTCGTATCTATCATTGGTGTATAATATATGTTGTAATATCCCTCTATTATTATCTTTGCAAGTATATATATTTTCATATTTTTATCATACTAAAGTCATTTTTATTTTTACTCTTTTATTTTCATAATTTATTATTAACTGTTTGTCTTCTAGATTATATGGTTTTACTTGTTCAAGCCATTTTATTCCTAAAGTGATATTTTCATCTCCTTGATATATTTTAAATTTTATTACTATTGGTACTCCTCCAATGATTATTTCCTTTTCAGTAGTTTCTTCGGTATACATTAATGCTTTTGGTAGTTCGGGACATAATTGTTCAGTAGTTATTATTTCATCTTCCGTGACTAATTCTCTTGTAATATAGTTTTCTTCTTGTCCTGTATTTATTAATATTAATTATTTTCGTTGTTCCATTACTCCCGTTATGTAGGAATGATGTGGTTTTATTTCTTCTTCCATTGATTTTTGTGGGGTTTTATCTATTCTTCTTGAGGTACTCATTTTTGATGAAATTTGTGGTATTTCACAGTTTATTCTTTTTGATGTGCTTAATCTTTCTTTTACTATTTCTAAGTCTTCTTCTATTTCAATCTCATTATAACTATAATCATTATTATCTATGACTGTAACTATCCTTTCAAAAGGATTTTCTATTTTTATTTTATTTATTTTATTTTTTGCTGTTATTTTATGTTTTGTTGTTAAAACATATAAGTTTTTACATTTAGCTGTAAATATTTTACTTCCCGGGGCTAGTTCTATTCTTGACATTTTCCAATATAATACTAGTGATTTATCTATGTTCCTGTCATTTATTGCTACTGAGTAATTATCACTTATTATAAATTTAAATTTTTGGTATATGAGGTTGCCTTTTACTGCAGTTATTATACTTTTTTCTATAGGTTGTATGATCCTATCATCTACTAAGTATATTTCTATGGGTGTATCTATCCCTTCTCTAAAACATGCTTTTATTAGTATTTCTGTTCCTCCTGAATGTACATATTTAATTGGATTTTTAGCCTTAATATCTTGTATTTCTTTATTTATTATTCGTTTATTTATTATTGGTATTTTAGCCTTTCCTTTGGTATATTTGCAATCTATAATATGTTCTCTTTGACTTACTACATAATACTTTTCTTTTTGTCGTTTAAACCAATTTCTTATTGTTGGTATTTCAAATATTTTTTCTACGCTTAGGTCTAATTCTTTTCCTTTTATTTGTTCAAATATGCTATTATCAAATATTATTTTTTGTTCTAAAGATTCTTCATCTTGATGATTTTCTTTAGTTATTATTTGTATGTCTGTTTCAGTCATTTATATAGTATTCATTATCTAATTCTGTTACTGAATTATTTTCTATTTCATTTTCCGACAAGTCATATATACTATCATTGCTTTCTAATTCATAATCTATGTATTCTATCTGCGTATATTTTTCATCGTCTATTATTATTTCTGATATTTGTTTTTTCTTTGGATTTTTATGTAATTTACAATCTCTAGCTATATGTCCTAATTTTCCACAATTATAACAAGTGCATTCCGTTAGTTTTTTTTTTGGTCTATATGGTCTTTTGGTTTTGTAGTTTTTTACATAGTATCTTCTTCTTGGTTATTTATATTTATATTTCGATCTATATTTTTTGTTATATCTCTTTTTATAGTATTTGTCCGTACAACGAAATTGGGGTGCCATTTTATTTTTGCAACATGCTAAGTTTTTTATTAGTATTTTTTTCATTTTTATTTCTTCTTTATGTTTTTCACATAGTTCTATAAACCATCGTTGTAAGAATTTTATTCTAGCTCCTCAGGTATCTATTAATCCTGCTTCATTCCAACTTTTTATTACTTTTGAATTAAAAGGTTCCGGTAATTTTGTAAAATATAATTTTCTTATTTCTTTACTTTCGTCTATGCTACATGTTCCTTTATAATAGTATTCTCTAAATGCACATGAATATTCATCTATATAACACATGTTACATATTGCTAATTTTTTCATTAAATTCCGGTTTATGATTTTTTCTTTATTTTGTTCTTCTACTTCTGTTGTCATACTACTAAATTCGTTCCTTATAGCTATTTCATATTTATATAATATTTCCACAGTTGTAGTAACTATTTCACCATCAAATTTTTTATTACTTCTTAGAGTTTGTAAACTTTCATCTGATAAAATTTGTAGCCATAATTTTACTGTTCCTATAAGTGTTCTCTCTATATATCCTGGTGTTTCTGTCATTACTATTTTGTTATCTATTAATTGTTTTGATATATATCCCATCCATAATTCAATTATTTTATTTATATTTGCTACACAGTCTAAATCTAAAAAATTATGTTGTTCAGTTATTGGTTTAGGAGTCTATTTTTTATTCAATCTTTTATCCCATATAGTTTTTTCTTTATCATATTGTTCATAGTTTGTATTATAATATTTTAAAATTTTTTGGGTTTTTTATTCCTGATGTACTAGGTTTTTCATCCATGTCTATGTCTCCTGTACTTACTTCTAAATTATTTGTATTATCTATGTTTGTTAAAAGTTCCGTATATGTTTCGCTTGTTTTCAAATGTTGTTCATCTAGATCATCGTCGTTTATTTCATCAATTCTTATTTCAGGTAGATTCTCTTGGTTATTTTCTTCTTTTCCTTCTAATTCATCTTCTAATTTCAATTTTTCTTTAAATTTAATTATCTCATTTGCTAATTTTATTTTTTGTTCCTTTTCTTTTTGTTTCATTTCATACATTTCTTTTAACATTGCCAGCTCTTTTTCTAGTTCTATTATTTTAGTATTTTTTTACTTCTTCTAATTGTTGTACTTCCTTTTTTGCTTGTTTTATTTTTTCAATTTTTGTTTTTCTATCTATTTCTTCATTTTCTTTTGTTATTCTTATCATAGCAGTTAAACTATCTTCTAGTTTTACTGTTTCTTTTTCCAACATTAAACTTATATTGTCACCTATTTTTTTGTATCTTCTTCCTAGATTAGAAAATATTATCTTTATTTTTAATCCGTCATAGTTTTCATATATTTTTTCGTCTATGGCATATTCTTCCTTATTCATTTATAGATTGTGTTGATATTTTTATTCTAAACTTTCTATCTGTATTTGTAGATATAAAATAGTTTTCCTTTGTGCTACTATAGATTTTTTACAAGTTCCTGCGAATATATTATTGTTAAGTGTACTTTGCCTATTTGCTAATTCTTGTCTTTTTGATATAATTATTTCAGTAAGTTTTTGTCTATATTCGTTATTCTTGTTGTTCATTGTATTTTTAAATATTGAATATATTTATATTCTATTTTAGATATATTATCTATTAATTGATCTAATTTTTCGTTATCAGTTTTTGTGATATTGAGTTGTTTATATTGCGGATACAATTTGTTTAATTTTCTTCTTATTTTTCTTAACTTTCTACTAGTACGTTTTTTCTTATATTTCATATCATCCATAGCTTTGATACCCCCTATATTAAAAAAATCCAATCTTATTGATAGAAAAAAAAATACAAAGTAAATTCTTTCAAGAAATTCATCAACTACTTGGGGCACAAATAATTCTACTTAAAAATCTAATAAAATATGAAAAACAAATGTTGGGATATTCAAATTCTACCAAGTCCTCTCCCTCCTTTCGTTGCCACCACTGTTTGCACCAGATCCATGACCCTCGTCATATCCCATGACATCACCAAATTCACCATTACTAGCTCGACCACCAACATGGAAAACCAATGTTTGGGATATTCAAATTCTACCACTATCATCTCTGTGGCATCTCCCTCCTTCGTTGCTACCACCATTTGCACCATTACTAGCTTTGTTGTCGTCACCACCTAGACCTCCCACAATTAGTTGAACCTTCTGATGCCAACACCAATTTAGGTTGTTCAGAAAATATTCTCGCTATATTTTTCCTTTGGTGTGAATAATATTCTTACTTGCTCCTTTGTTCCAAGCTCTCCCTCCAAGATTAACGATTTTATTTTCTTTTTGGGGAGGAGTCTTCTTCTGACATTCCAACTTTCATTTTAGCATTCTTAACGTTATAAGAATACATAAAATATGTATTAAAAATTTAAGACCAAAAAAATATAGTGCAACTATAAAATTAGTCGCCAAATAGCATATAGCTAACAACTATATTTTGATAATTTATTGTTAATCCGTTATTAAATAAGATTATAATGATAACTTTTTCTATGATGAGATTTATCAATTTATAATTTTTATATTTTCTATAGTTGTTTTTTTGTATAAAAAACCATTGTCTAATAGCTACCGTAATATTAACTTACCTTGTTTTTGTGTTTCACATACCTATTCATAAGGTTATTCATTGCTTCACCAAGAAACTTTTTAACCTCCCTCTTGCCATGGTTGTTGCTTTTCTGTTTCTTTGTTTCAGACTTCCTTTTCAAGATAAAATCTTCAGCTTTTCTTTTCATGGAGTGCTTTTTAATAGCCCCAACCTTTGGTTGAATAATTTTTTTAAATAAGAATGATGTAAATGTCTTTGCGTCTTAACATGACAATAAAAGTTAGTGTCATATAGTTAGGAGGTTGTCATCGAAATCACTTCTTGCAGAAATGCAATGTAAGAGCTTACCTCTTTTACTTCAGTGGCTTCTGGATCAACTTCAAGCTTTGATAAACCCATGAACACATATTTTCTTACCTCCACAATAGAACGATATTGTTTGCTCTTATGATAGTAATACTGCTATCCAACAAAGAATGTTAAGAACTAACTATATATATGATTTTACAAAGTACAAACTACACACATTACAATGTAATAATATTACTAGCTCTCATTTTCTTGATATATCATTGGTTAGAGATTCATTGGTCCTTAATAAGGATAAAAACTAGTTATACACAAAATTTTAAACAACTAAAGAAAAATATACAATATAAATCCACTAAGTTTAAATGTGATAATATAGTGGTATTTTACTAGTCCTGTTTGAAATAAGAAAATAAAGTTTAATTATCGCCTAACATGCACAAAACAAATGTTCTGATTCTTCTTTCTTTTTTTTTTTCAGGAAAAAGAAAAGATAAAACAAGCAATAATATAATTAAGTGGACGATTCACGATATTGGTAGTGATAAATAAATCAAAAAAATTGTATTTACCATGTCAAATACTCCGGATCCATTTTCATGTTGTCTCTTTTCAATTACCCATCCATGTAGCATCTCATTGTATTTACAATTAAGACGATCACAAATTGGTTCTTCTAGGATTTGTACTAACCACTTGTGGATTATAAATGGTGTAACAGTTAGCTTCACCTTTAAAAGGTTCAATTTGGAAGATAACGTTACGAAAGACTGATCTTTCTTCTCATGATCAATCATGTTTTCGGATACTCTCAAAGGAATTATAAGAAACAAAAAAGTAAAGAAAACTCAAGAATAATAGTTGAGAAGTAATGTGCTTTGAGGCTTGAAATATCAAGGACTATATATAGATAATTAAATTGAGAAGATGGAAAGTAATTTTGAAAATAGATAAGGATGAAATTAATAAGATATGATTACCTTTAGAAAAAAGATTACGATATTTGCATATTTGGTCAATAATTATTTATTATTTGTAGAAGGTGACTCTTTTGGGGAAAAAAATTACGATATTTGGATATTTGGTCAGCACTTATATATTATTTGTAGAAGGTGACTCTTTTAGGAAAAAATTCACGAATTTTGGACATTTGGTCAATAATTATTTATTGTTTGTTGAAGGTGGAATAGTCGAGGAGATCCTTCTACTTATCTTGATTTGACTATGCTTATGTGACATTTTATTTTGCTGAGTCTGATAAAATGTGTGGTGTCACATATTTAAAAGCGAAATGTTTTAACTAACAAATATTTAAAAAAAATTAGAAGTGGGGGTTTGGAGGGGGGGGGGAGATTTTAGCAAAATAAAAATTACTTAGGCTACATTTTGAACTTTCTTGCTTATGAGAAGATAAAAATGTCATCTTTGAACTATACAATTCTTCAAAATTAGAAGAAATTGAGTTCTTTCAAAAGATACTTCCTTTCAAGATAACCGTTTGATATTTATATTCCCATCATATTATGTTTTTCCAAAAGAAATATCTTTGTGAAAACATGATTGATCATGAGAAGAAGAAAAGATCAGTCTTTCGTAATGTTAGCTTCCGAATTGAACCTTCTAATAGTGAAGTTAACTGTTACACCATTTATAATCCACAAGTGGTTAGTACAAATCCTGCAAAGAACCAATTTGTGATCATCTTAACCATAAATACAAGGAGATGCTACATGGATGGGTAACTGAAAAGAGACAACATGAAAATGGATGCAGAGGATTTGACATGGTAAATACAATTTTTTGGATTTATTGATCACTACCAATATCGTGAATCCTCCACTTAATTATATTATTGCTTGTTTTATCTTTTCTTTTTCCTAAAAAAAAGAAAGAAAAAAGAATCACAACATACTTTTTGTTTGTATTAGACGATAATTAAACTTTATTTTCATATTTCAAATTGGTCTACTAAACTACAACTATACTATCACATTCAAACTTATTCGGATTTTATATAATGTATTTTTCTTTAGTTGTTTAAATTTTTATATATAACTAGTTTTTATCATTATTAAGGACCAGTGAATCTCTAACCAATGATATATCAAGAAAGTGAGAGCTAGTAATATAATTACTTTATAATGTGTGCAATTTGTACTTTGTAAAATCATATATATAGTTAGTTCTTAACAAAAATATTTGTTGGATTGCAGTATTACTATCATACGAGCAAAAAATATCGTTCTATTTTAGAGGTAAGAAAATATGTATTCAAGGGTTTCTCAAAGTTTGAAGTTGATCAAGAAACCACTGAAGTAAAAGAAGTAAGCTCTTACATTATTTGCATTTTGCTGGACTACTATAGCTTGTTTGACTAAGTTTCTTGCGCAAGTATATATACGTGTGTAAGAAATATTTACTAAGTCTTACCTTGCATTTTTGCAAGAAGTGATTTCCATGACAAACTCCTAACTATATGACACTAAACGTTTATTGTCATGTTAAGACACAAAGACATTTACATTATTCTTATTAATCCAAATGTTGGGGTTATTAAAAAGCACTCCATGAAAAGAAAAGTTGAATGTTCCATCTTTAAACGGAAGTCTGCAACAAAGAAAAAGAAAAGCAACAACCAAGGTAAGAGTGAGGTCAAAAAGTTTCTTGGTAAAGCAATGAACAACCTCGTGAATAGGGATGTCAAACACAAAAATAAGGTAAGTTAATGTTACGCAAGCTATTAGACAACAATTTTTTTTAACAAAAAAAACCACTATAGGAAATATAGGAATTAGAAATTGATAAATCTCATCATTAGAATAAAAAAGCTATCATTATATAATCTTATTTAATAACCATATTAACATCAAATTATCAAAAAATACTTGTTAGCCATAAGCTATTTGGCGACTAATTTTTTAGTTGCACTATTTTTTTGGTTGTAATTTTTATATATATTTTATGTATTCTTACAATATTAATTATTTTAAATGAAAGGGTGTTAGAATGTCAGAAGAAGATTCCTCCCCGAAAAGAACAATAGAATATTCAATCTTGGAGACAGAGCCTGGAACAAAAGACTAAATAATATTACTATTCACACCAAAGGACAAATACAAGTGAGAATATTTTTTGAACAACCTCAATTGGTGTTGGCAGATGAGGTTCAACTAATTGTTGGAGGTCTAGTTGATGACGATGACAGAGCTAGTAATAGTGCAAATGGTGGTAGCAACGAAGGAGGGAGAGCGGAGTTGAGATGATAGTGGTAGAATTTGAATATCCCAACATTGGTTTTCCATGTTTTCAAACAATAATTTATTTTTGTTAGTAAAAACTATTTGTGCCCTAAGTGTTTGATGAATTTCTTGAAAGAAATCACTTTGAGCTTTGTTCTATCAGGATCTTAATTGTTCTATCTTCGCTATATTACAATGTGTCACGACCCAAGGTATCCCTCTAGGCGTAACATGGAACATCATACCACTAAGCATTCATACCAATTGGGTGTCTCTCATCAAGCTCACAATTTAACGTCGTGACGCAACACCGGGTACATTACCCTTTGTGTTTCAACTTTGAGGAAATGAACCGTCTCCCAATATGAGATCAATTTTAGTCCGAAGAGCATGGGAAGTGCAAAAGAGCATCAAGTGTTTCACCTGATCTCTCCACTTTGAATACTTGAATCTCTTACCCAACTTCGTATCATGCTTTCATTTTGGATCATTGAGCAACAGTGAAAGAGTCACTAGGCCATGTGAGCATTGAAATTCATAATTCTTGTCCTTCAAGTGAGTGACACTCTCATCTTCACATGATCTAGAGTTGCCATATTGTCACGACCCAGACCATCGTGATTGGGACCCACACGAACCCTCTGATGGGAGAACCATTAATACGAAACCAAACATTTAAAGATACGGAAGAAGGTTTAAATGACTAAATACTGAAGTTCCCATAAATTTTCAAAATATCTAACATAGAATTGCAAAATTAAATGCCTCGGTACATCTTGGTCACACCAGGATAAATGGAACATCGAGAACCATGGATTCTGTCAACAATTTCTGAATCAAGTCATCAACTTGAGGACCGCAAATCCTTCCTTTAAAACTTAGCGAACCTTGCGCATCAAGAGTGGTCTTTTGTGCCTTACCAATCGCAGTCTTCTTCTTAAGCTCGTTCAAATTTTCATCATCAAATTGCTTGGCCTTGATCTCCTTAATGAACGTGGCCCTAACTTTAATGGTAACTAACACCCCACCTTTCTTTGAGATGCCCAACTGTATGAATTTAGACTCCAAAGTCTGAATTTACTTAGCCAAGGGTCGTCTAGTTATAGTCAAGCAAGCTAAACTACCCATACTCACTGCTTTTCGACTTAAAGCGTCTGCCACTACATTAGCCTTACCCAGATGATATTGATTGGTGACATCATAATCTTTAAGTAACTCCATCCACCTTTGCTATCTCAAATTCAGATCCTTTTGGGTGAACACATGCTGCAAAATACGATGATCAGTAAACACTTCACACTTGACACCATATAAGTAATGTCGCCAAATCTTAAGAGCAAATACTATCGCTGCCAACTCCAAATCATGCGTTGGGTAATTCCTCTCATGCACCTTCAACTGTCGTGATGCATAAGCTATAACATTTTTATCTTGCATTAACACAACAACCAAACAGAATGTGAAGCATCACAATAAACTATTAAATCTTTACATTCCACCTGTAGTGCTGGAATAGGTGTTGTGCTCAAGAGAGTCTTGAGCTTTTGAAAGCTATCCTCAAATTTTCCAGTCCATTCAAAGGGTACCTCTTTTTTGGTCAAAGTTCTTCACAAATCGATGATAGTAGCTAGTGAGCCCCACAAAGCTTCTAATTTCCGTCAAAGAGCTAGGCCAAACCTAATTCTTATCCTCTTCAATCCTTTGGGGGTCTACCATTACCTCTTTATTTGAAACTACATGCCCTGAAAAGGTAATTGAAGTCAACCAAAATTCACACTTACAAAATTTAGAATACAACCTTTGTTTCCCAAGAACACCTAGAATAATACGAAGATGGTCGGTATGCTCTTCCTCACTTTTCAAATAAACCAAAATGTCATCAATAAAGACTATAAAAAATGAATCAAGAATGGGATTGAACATATTATTCATCAAACTCATAAAAGTAGTAGGCGAATTAGTCAACCCAATCGACATAACTAGAAACTCGTAGTGCCCATAGAGGGTTCTAAATGCCATCTTGGGCACATCCTCAAGCCTAATGTTCAATTGATGGTAACCATACCTTTGATCAATCTTGGAGAAAACTGATGCACCGTGTAATTGGTCGAAAAGATCATCTATTTGAGGCAATGGATACTTATTCTGAATTGGTAACCCTATTCAGTTCCCGATAATCTATACACATCCTCATACTACCATCCTTTTTCTTAACAAAAAATAACTGGAGCACCCCATGGGGAAGCACTAGGACGAATAGATCCTTTATCAAGAAGCTCTTGGATTTGAATCTTAAGCTCTCTTGATTCATCCAGAGCTATGGGATATAGAGGGATGGAAATAGGATGAGTATCAGGTTGTAAATGAATGCAGAATTATATATCTCTATCAGGAGG